ATCTCTCCGATTTCATTTCTTTAATAATATGTTATCGTAGACTAAAAACTAAGCGACACGTATTTTTTTTTATCTGCCATTAAACCCTTTAAGGGGGTGAAACCGCCATCCAAAGTAAGGCCTGTGAGGGGTGGCTCACCCCTTAATATTCTTTTTTTTTAATTGAGAAAATTTCATTTTTCATTTCTCGTTATGAGAAAGCTCTTCCAGGTGGATTGGTTAAAAAATATTACGTTCTTGTGGGGGAAACTGCCAAATCTCCCCTTGATATGCCTTACTTTGGATGGTGGTTTCACCTCCTTAAAGGGTTTAATGGCAGATAAAAAAATATAAGTGTCGCTTAGTTTTTAGTCTTTTTTTTTTTTTAATTGAGAGAATTATATTTTTCATTTCTCGTTATGAGAAAGCTTTTCCAGGTGGATTGGTTAAAAAATATGTTCTTGTGGGGGAAACTGCCAAATCGCCCCTTAACATGCCTTATTTTGGATGGTGGTTTCACCCCCTTAAAGTGTTTAATAGCAGATAAAAGAAAATAAGTGTCGCTTAGTTTTTAGCCTTTTTTTTTTTTAATTGAAAGAATTATATTTTTCATTTCTCGTTATAAGAAAGCTTTTCCAGGTGGATTGGTTAAGAAATATTGTGTTCTTGTGGGGGAAACTGCCAAATCGCCCCTTGACATGCCTTACTTTGGATGGTGGTTTCATCCCCTTAAAAGGTTTAATGGCAGATAAAAAAAAAAAATACGTGTCGCTTGGTTTTTAGTCTTTTTTTTTTTAATTGAGAGAATTATATTTTTCATTTCTCCTTATGAGAAAGCTTTTCCAGGTGGATTGGTTGAAAAATATTATGTTCTTGTGGGGGAAACTGCCAAATCGCCCCTTGACATGCCTTACTTTGGATGGTGGTTTCACCCCCTTAAAGGGTTTAATGGCAGATAATAAAAAATACGTGTCGCTTAGTTTTTAGTCTACTATGACATATTATAAAAGAAATGAAATCGGAGAGATCGACCTGGGATACTTTCCTTGGAAGTTATTCCGAGCCTCGAAATGCGGATAAATAAACGAGGAGGCTCGGAATTCGGGGGCGAAATTGACTGGATTCGTTCCTAGGCTCGCAAGCTTACCCTCTCGTGAAATTTACCCCTTTCGGACTCGCCTTTGGCCTTCCGAGGGAGGTTTTCCTTTTTTTCTTCTTTATCTTTCTAATCGAGGAGGGAAACGAGACTCGAGGAAGCTATGGAACTCGATTTTGGATCGCTTCATTTGGTTCTCGACCGAGAGGGACGCGTCTTGGAATCATTAAGGTGATATGAAAGTGTGATATATACATAACAGGAAGTGAAAATATTTATATAACTTTTCTCCGAACTGGGTGCGCCGAATTATCTGAAACTTTAACACGTGATTACGGAGGCCCTAAGGAATAAAGCGCTGCTCGTGACATTTCTTTTTTTTTCGAAAAAATTCTTATCGCGGACAAGAACCAGAGATATATATTTTTTTTCTTCAAAAAATGAAATTTGTCGAACATTGGAATGACCCTTTCATATCACCTTAACATTTCGGGAGGAGAAAATTATAACAGGAATGCCAGAAATATGACTTTATGCTCAATGGCGTTCCAGGTTTTGAATATTTTTCCAATTTATTAGAAAATAATTGGCTGAACCTTGCGCGGATGTTGGCATCAGGTAATCATGTGTTTAATAATCAGGATCAATTAATTACTGGTTTAATTGAAAGGTATAAATAATTTGCGCGATTTACGAAAAATAAATCCCTGGGCATTGTTTAAGCGTTAACCGTGTACGTCTTAATATATATTTAATTTTTCTCGAAATAAATAAAAATATATAGAATAATATAAGAGAGATATTGTGTGCAACTGGGGGGTGGAGGGACGGAAAAGTTAGGAGGAGGGAATAACGAAATAAAAAGCCAAATGAAAATCCACGACGTCCTGGCGGGCTTCTTTTAACGTGATAGTTTATTAAACGAAATCATAATTATAATAATAATCAATGGAACTAAGTGTAGAGACAGAAGAAGGGAAAAAGAAAAAGAAAATAAAAAAAAAATCACATTTACAGCGCGGGGTCCCGAAACACCCCCTCCCGCCCGGCCGTAACAAAACGATCATTTGCATTTCTCCTGTACGTCACAATTCCATCTTCCTTCCGTTCTTCTCGGGCATTCGCCAGATTTATCTGCTCTTTCTCTTTTTCTCTCTCTTTCGCACAACCCGCCCCTGTTTCTCTCATTCATCCCCTTCCTCTTCTCGGCATTCACTCCCTCGGCAAGTTCTCTCACGTTTACGATTTTCCTCCTTTTTTCTCCCTTTCTCTCTCTCCCTCCGTTTCTTTCATTCGCGCAGTCTCTCTCTCCTGTTGGTGGGAAAAGTCTGTCGGAATTTCTTTTTTCACGGTATCTCGCGAATAGCAATTATCTTATTCCGGAAGGAATTTCCCTTCGGAAAGACCGAAGATCCAGAATTTCGATGTAAAAATTGATGTATAAAATAATTCCCGTTTTTATTTAATTTTGTCAGTTTTGCAGTGCTCCCACCGTTTTTGCCTATCTGTTTTCAGGTTAGGAAGGTAAGACATGTCGCCTCGGGTTATCTTTCTCAAGTAAAATGAACATTTTCATCCTTTGTATAGATTTCTCGAGAAACCTTTCCCGAAGGTCGTAAGAAGGTGATAAGAAAGAGTCATTATGTATATATTTTGTTTTATATTATATACATATAAAACATCAAAATATTAAAAAAAACTCTTCCAAATCAGAGGTACCGAATCATTTGAACTTTAATACGTGATTATGGAGACCCTAAGGAAGAACGCTATGCTCGTGAAATTTCATTTTTCACAAAAAAATGCGATTTTTATTCTAGTCTATGCTAAATGAAACGAATATTTTTCTTGAAAATTGAAATTTAACGAGCATCGTGTTTTTTCTTAGAGCCTCCATAATCACTTCTTAAAGTTTTAAATAATTCAGTGCACCCAGTTTGGAGAAAAATTTTATAAATATTTCAACGATTTGATATATATTTTTATCAAATGACCCTTTCATATCACATTAAAGAATATGAAATGTTTGAAAATTTCGTCTCGGGAGCACCGCAAGATGACGTTAACCCTCTGTGAATAGAGTTGAACAAAACAGTCGGCGAGTGTCGGTGCCTTTGAAATGATTAAAAAAGGAGAAAAGAAAAAAAAAGAAAAAAAGTCAGCGAGTGAAAGAAAATCTCGCAGGAAGTTTGTTTGAAATTCCGTAAGTCACCTTGTACCTCCGTACCCACGGAGGTAATTCGATGTATTCATTGTAAAGGTGTTCGGCAGTTAATAAAAAAGAAAAAAAGGGTGTGCAAAAATTCAGAGAGACCTCCTCACCAATAGAATAATTCATGCAAATCGGAAATTCATGCTCGCACTCGACCTGTTATCATAGGAAACCCAAAGAGCGGCGTGGTTCTGCGCGTGTACGTGTCGCCGTGTACGTGTGGCCATTACAATAATAATAATTACATAACTCGCAATAATGGTAGAATATTATACTTTCTTAATAACAAACTAATGGTTAAACAACTTGAGCACAGGTAAGGTGCGGCATCGGCGAGAGGGCGAAGTCCCGAATTTCGAGGAGGGCACTTTTTCAAAGTGTCCCAGAGGCGACGAGGGAGGGGGTGGGATTTTTGAAAAAACCAGAGCGCATTTCGGAACCCCTCGGCCGAAGGAGACGTCCTCGCGAAAGCCGGCTCAACGAAAGCCGGAATTTTTTATTTGGAAAGAAAAAAATATATATATAAGAAAGGAGAAAAAAACTAAACGCGAGCGTTGCAAAGATCGGCTCCAGGGGCCGGGGGACTTCTTCCGGTATCTGCGATCCTTCGAGCCTCCACTTCCTTTTATTTTCCTCCTCCTTTGCGTGGACTTTGCACGATGAGGGTGAAAAAGGGCCTCTTTCAAAATCAAACTCGAAAGGGGCGAAACCCTTTCCCGAGTTCCGGGGCTCCAAATTTCGGGACTTCTCCTCGGCGGATCCCTCGCTTTTGCCCACACCGTAACAAGAAAATTATCTACAGTGTGTCCCTCCGCGTTCTGAGCCTTCGTGGTTTCCTCCTTTCTTTCCTTTTGCTTTTACTCTTTACGCTTTAATATTACTATTACCTCGGTTGGCTCTTTGCAGCTTCGCCGGCGCGTCTCTTTCCGTCTTCTTTTTCCCGGCCCGGATTAAAGGGGTAACCAAATCTCACGTCACGATAAAATCAAAAGGAAAATCAAAATCTTCGTTAATCGAGTTAAGGTGATATGAAAGGGTCTTTATGGATATTTCAAAACACTAAAATATTTATAAAACCTTTTCTGCTAACTGCCCGGAATTATGGAGGCCGTAAGATAGAACGCGATGTTTATCAAATTTCATTTTTCGAACCAGTACCTTTTTTTTTTCGTGTCCGAGATAAATGCGTATATTTTTATTCGAAAAATGAAATTTGACGAGCATTGCGTTCATTCTTACCCAATTTGGAGAAAATAGTTATAAATATTTTGATTTCTTGGTACATATGTATTTTTTTATTCGAAAAATGAAATTTCACGAGCATTGCGTTCTTCCTTACCCAATTTGGAGAAAATATTTATAAATATTTTGACTTTTTGGTACATATGTATTTTTTTATTCGAAAAATGAAATTTCACGAGCATTGCGCTCTTCCTTACCCAATTTGGAGAAAAGATTTATAAATATTTTGACTTTTTGGTATGTATGTATTTTTTTATTCGTATTAGGTATCTACGTATTTTTTGTTCGAAAAATGAAATCTTTCGTGCATTGCGCTCTTCCTTACCCAATTTGGAGAAAAGATTTATAAATATTTTGACTTTTTGGTATGTATGTATTTTTTTTTTCGTATTTGGTATCTACGTATTTTTTTTTCCCGTATTTGGTATGTACGTATTTTTTTGTTTTTTCCGAAAAATGAAATCTCGCGAGCATTGCGTTCTTCCTTACCCAATTTGAAGAAAAGTTTTATAAACATTTTCACTTTTTGGTATGTATATATTACACTTTCATATCATCTTAAGGTCGCCTTCCCTCGGGAATCCGAATAAGAGCACTCGATACTTTCTTTGCGTCGGAGAACGTCTTCGATAGTTCGTTTCTGAAGAAAAAACGCAATTCAGAAGTCCGGATGGAGTAAAAATCCCGAACCGAAAATATTTATTAAACGATAAGAGCGGCGGTCTTGATTGTGCGAGACAATGGGCATAGATATCAAGAGCGTTCGTTCTTTGTGGAAATTTTAGAATCCCAGAATTTCCGCTTTGCCGACGCTATCCGTTTAACAAATATCGCTACAAAGTATCCCGAAAATACTTTTCCATCGAGTGATATCAAAATAAGTGTAAATGAAATTGCCAACGAGAACACCACTCCGATACCTAGCATTAAAAGCAAAAAGTATCTCCCCGAAAAGTGATTTCTCGAATAATTGTAAACTAGATGGTAAAAATCATGAACTTGAAATATCGAAGACAAGGCAGAAATAAAAAGGGATATTTAAAAATGCTGGATTAAAAATCTGCAATCTCGAATAAGTGGCTCTTGATAGGGATAAGAGAAGAAGAAAATAGAAAAAAAAGAAAAGAAAACAAAACGTTAACTTGCACTTTATCGTTACGGAGGCATCCGACGGAGACGAAGAAACCTAACCCCAAAACGTTTCCCAACGCTTTTGACTAATAACAGAACATACTGGGCGGATAAAGCGGCTAGAGACATTCCTAATCATCGATCCCCACTTCCGTCTTCCTCTCATCTCCATTCCTGCCTCGGCAATTTCATCTCGGACGCTTATCAACGATCGCATCAACCGCGGCATCGGGATCACGGAAGATCAGGGAAGATCAGGGATGATCACGGATGATGACCGACTTCCACGACCCTGACGCGAGATGATAGCATGTCTCGATTCCTAGCAATATCCAATCAGTCTATTTCCCAGCGCAAGGACCAGATCTCGGGCCCCACCTTCAGGGGCCGCAGCCAGGGCCCACCAGAGTCCCAGGAAGAACGAAGCCACCACCTCAGGAAGGCGCCAGCCTGGACGAATCCCCAGCCCCGGGCCCAGGTTACTGCTTCTCCTTGAGTCCCCCCAGCAGCGCGTGGCTCTCCATGGTAGCGCTGAGGTTGCTCAAGTTGCTAAGGTTGCTAAGGTTCCCCAGGTTGCCGAGGTTCCCCAAGTTCGGTTGATGAGCGTAGTTCCTAATCTGGTGTAGGCTGATCAGCTGATTGGGAAAGGAGGTGGCGTTCTGGTTGGAGGTGGTCCCGGCGGTGACTCCCGCCGAGGAGGTGGGCGAGGACTTCTGCGAGTTGAAGGCCTCGTAGAGGTAGGGCCTGGAGGCAGGGTGGTGGCTCCCAGGGTAGTGGAGGTGATTCAGCGGGTTCAGCGGATGCTGCATCGAGGAGATCGAGTTTATGGAGATCGAGGAGATCGGCGTGAAGGCCGAGGAGCTGTTGGGGTGGTTCCCGGGCTGGGGAGTCTGCTGCCTGGAGTCGTTCTCGATGGACTCCCGGTGCCCGTGGGGAAGCAGCATCTCCGCGTTCTGGTTCTGATGGTAGTCCCCGTGGTGGTGGGGCAGTCGCTCGTGCAGCTCCGAGATCACGGAGTCCGGGCTGACTTTGGGCCAGTAGTGCTCCTGGTGGTGGGCCATGGCGTGGATGGAGGGCCTCAGCCCGGTCCCGATGATCGGGGGTCGCTTGTCCGTCCTCTCGGCATGCTTCTGCATGTGCTTGGCCAGGTAGGTCTCTTGGGTGTAGCTTTTGCCGCAGTACTGGCATATGTGGGTCTTCAGGTGTTTCGACTCCTTGTGCTTCGGGATGTGCTCCAGGAGGCTGGGCTCGTCGGAGAAACACTTGTAGCAGGAGTTGCACTTGTAGGGCTTGTCGGTCTGGTGGCACCTAGAGTGGCTCTGCAGGTTGCTCAGCTGGCTGAAGGCCTTCGTGCACCCCGGGTGCCGGCACTTGTACGGCTTGTCCCCGGTGTGCGTGCGGATGTGCTGCTGCAGGTGGCTCAGCTGGGTGAACTTCCGCTGGCAGATCTCGCAGCGGTACGGTTTGATCCCCAGGTGGATCCGCGTGTGCTGGGAGAGGTACGACGAGTTCGCGAACGCCTTCGAGCACTGGGTGCACTTGTACGGCTTCGCCTCGCGCATGTGGATCTGCGTGTGCAGCTGCAGGTCCGCTTTGCTGCCGAATATCTGAAACAGAACGGGCACCCGGGTCAGTATCTTCCTCCTTTTATCTGGCAAGGGCGCTTGTCTAGGAGTCGCGACCACGGACGAGGTCGTTCCAACTTGGCCCCTTCGCATTCGGAAGCGTGGAGGGATCGGAGTGCCCTTCTTCCGTCGAGATTTCATTCCTTCAATTCGTTCAGCGTATTAAGGTGATATGAAAGGGTCATTCTATATATATAAAACGTGAAAATATTAACCCTTTGCGGTCGTACATCTACTCTCAGGCTCCAAAGTTCTCTTGATCTTGGGTAAATACGACCGCAAAGGGTTAATAAATCTTTCCTCCAAACTGGGTGCACGGAATCATTTGAAACTCAAGCACGTGGTTATGAAGGCCCCAAGAAAGAACGCGATGCTTATGAAATTTAATTTTTCAAACAAATGTCTAGTCTGGGATACATAAAAAATTGTTATTTGAAAAATGAAACTTCATGAGCTTCGCGTTCTTCCTTAGGGCCTCCGTAATCACGTGTTAAAGTTTCAGATGATTCGATGCTTCCAGTTTGGATTAAATATATAGACCCTATTATATCACCTTAAGGTGATATGAAAGTGCCATTTCTTTTTGTTGTGAAAAATGAAATTTCACGGACATCGCGTTCTTCCTTAGGGCCTCCATAATCACGTGTTAAAGTTTCAGATGATTCGGTGCTTCCAGTTTGGATTAAATACATAGACCTTATTATATCACCTTAAGGTGATATGAAAGTGCCATTTCTTTTTGTTGTGAAAAATGAAATTTCAGGAGCATCGCGTTCTTGCTTAGAGCCTCCAGAATCACGTGTTAAAGTTTCAGATGATTCGATGCTTCCAGTTTGGATTAAATATATAGACCCTATTATATCACCTTAAGGTGATATGAAAGTGCCATTTCTTTTTGTTGTGAAAAATGAAATTTCAGGAGCATGGCGTTCTTCCTTAGAGCCTCCATAATCACGAGTTAAGGTTTCAGATAATTCGGCGCACCCAATTTGGCTAATAGTTTCATCAATATTCTCACTTTTTGGTATGTACACATTACACTTTCATATCACCTTAAATCCACAATGTCCAGTCCCACGTGACAGGTTCTCAGTACCGTCGCAAAATCATCTGAGGTGCCCTCGCTTACCGATCCGCGTCGTCGGACCACGTGTCTTTCAGACCCAAACGAGTCAATTGAATTTCAAGACAAAGATAAACCTCATCGTCGACCCGGGGCAAGAATCTCGATGGTTTCTTGCCCCGTGGCCGATGCCGAGGGCATCTAGTCACCGGCATGGTGAAGGGTTTCGTCGTGTGTGCTTTCTCGGCCCATTAGCCGGGCGAGGTGGCTCTGACGGAGGTGTGTATATTTATAAATAAATAAATGGTAAACGAGAAACGCGCCGCTCGGCCATACAAGAGAGGCTGACCTTGTCTATCACGTATGCCGCCCGCGGCCATTCCCGGCAGACTCGGTCGAGCGACTCCGCCACTACCGCTGCCGCGGAGGACTCCTCGCGCTGTCTCTCTCTTCCGCGCGGCCCGCCCCCTCGCCCCCTCTCTGTTCCCCTTTCTCGCGAGCGAGTGTTACCGCGACACTGCTCTTAAGGTGAAGTGAAACCCCCATCAAATCAGTCGACTCGAATGAGACTTTTTTTGAGGGTATTGGATATGGAACCGTCTGAAACTTTGACACATGGTGAGTACCTAGGAATTATCCTGGCACTTTCAAAATATGGATTTTCGAAAAGCTTTCTTTTACTGGGGGTATTGGATATGGAACCGTCTGAAACTTTGACACATGGTGAGTACCTAGGAATTATCCTGACACTTTCAAAATATGGATTTTCGAAAAACATTCTTTTACTGGGGGTATTGGATATAGAACCGTCTGAAACTTTGACACATGGTGAGTACCTAGGAATTATCCTGACACTTTCGAAATTTGGATTTTTCCCAAAAGGTTTTCAACTTAGTCCAGACCAAAACCAAAATCGTCCAATTTGCGAAATGCGACTTTCAAGTAGATATTCTCGCTGAAGCTCCTTTAAAACCGTGTTCTATATTGTTGTACGATTGTCCTGACACCTTCGGCTCTTATATTAAAGCCTTCAATAATTATATGCCGATCGACATATTAGAGCTCGATGCCATCTTGGTTCTGGCGAAAATACAAATTTTAAAAGTATCAGGACGATTTCTAGGTGCACCTGATTCATGTGTCAGAGTTTAAGGCGGTTCTATCCAATGCCCTTAAAAAAACAAGTGTCTTATGAAGTTACTAGTCAAGAAAATTTCTTTAAAAAATCCAAATTTCGAAAGTATCAGGACGATTTTTAGGTGCACCCGAGTTATTTGTCAAAGTTTAAGGCGGTTCTATCCAATACCTTTAAAAAATAAGTGTCTTATGAAGTTATTAGTCAAGAAACTTACTTTCAAAAATCCAAATTTGGAAAGTATCAGGACGATTTTTAGGTGCACCCGAGTTATTTGTCAAAGTTTAAGGCGGTTCTATCCAATGCCCTTAAAAAAACAAGTGTCTTATGAAGTTACTAGTCAAGAAACTTCCTTTAAAAAATCCACATTTCGAAAGTATCAGGACGATTTTTAGGTGCACCCGAGACACGTGTCAAACTTTCAGGCTGTTCTGTCCAATCCCCTTAAAAAAACAAGTCTCTTATTCGAATCGACTGACATTAAGGGAGTTTCGCTTCACCTTAATTGAATCATCAATTTCCCTCGGCGTTTTAGCGACTCCTATCCCAATATCTTAATTTAACCGCGAAAAGGATACTCACGGGCGTACGGGATTAATTTCCAAGTTAATAAAAAAAAAGAAAAATTAAGCGGGGTTCTTATATGGCGCAAATAAAAGAAGACAAGACCCGAAGGGATGTCGCGCCGACGTGTCGCGATCGGTTAACGGGTGCTGGGTTTATGTCGTCCTAATAATACTGTTAGCCTTTTACAACATAATGAGACGTTATGCATGCATTCGAGGCAGTCAGCGCTGATTTCTGATCCAAGCCATCGGGGCGTTTACGTAACGAGTATCGGTTTTAACAGCTGACTTGGCACGTCCTTTAATAGGCGAGATTTTTTATTTCCTCCTTTCGAAATGCGTCCTTGCAGAAGTCAAGTTCGAACGAGGCCCACGTAATCGGGCCCCTAGAGTGGGCAGGAAAGAAACGAGAGCCACCGTCCACGAATCGTCATTCGTAGTCATCAATCACAAAGCCTTGGGGCACGTTCGCTCATCTTTCGGTAATAAGCTCGTCAAGAACTACGGACTTCGATTTTTCGTCAATGACGGACCAAACGTACCTTTGATCGAGTCGTTATATAAGCCTCGTTGTAATAAGTGTTTCGATGTGAAATGAAATTTCATTTTGCGAGAAAAAAATGTCTTTTTTGGTTCTTGAGATAAATGGAAATGAAGAAAAAAAATTACCTTTGATCCAGTCATTACATAAGCCTTATTGTAATAAGTGTTTCGATGTGAAATAAAGTTTCATTTTGCGAGAAAAAAAATGCCTATTTCGTTCTTCAGATAGATACAAATTTTTCCCATAAGCCTCATTATAAGTGTTTCGGTATGAAACGGAATTTCATTTTGCGGAAAAAAAATGTCTTTTTTGGTTCTTGAGATAAATGGAAATGAAGAAAAAAAATGAACGTTCGCTCATCTTTCGGTAATAAGCTCTTCAAGAACTGTGGACTTCGATTTTTCGTCGATGATGGACCAAATGTACCTTTGATCCAGTCGTTACATAAGCCTCGTTGTAATAAGTGTTTCGATGTGAAATGAAGTTTCATTTTGCGAAACAAAAATGTCTTTTTTCGTTCTTCAGATAGATACAAATTTTTCACATAAGCCTCATTATAAGTGTTACAATATGAAATGAAATTTCTTTTGCAGAAACAAAATGTCTTTTACGCCTTCCGTATATTATAAGAAAAGAAATACGTAAGAAATTAAATACGTATATTATAAGAAAAGTCGTAAAATTTAAAGGCGTTGAAATTACGTTGCATATAGGTAATTGTAATAGAAATGTTAAATACGTATATTATAAGAAATGAAATACGTATATTATAAGGAACATCGTGAAGTTTGAAGGGGTTGAAATTACGTTTCATATAGGAAATTCTAATAGAAATTTTAAATATGTATGTTATAAGAAACGTCGTGAAGTTTGAAGGCGTTGAAATTACGTTGCATGTAGGAAATTCTAATCGAAACTTTAAATACGTATATTATAAGAGACGTCGTGAAGTTTGAAGGCGTTGAAATTACGTTGCATATAGGTAATTCTAATCAAAATTTTAAATACGTATATTATAAGAAATTAAATACATATATTATAAGAAACGTCGTGAAGTTTAAAGGTGTTGAAATTACGTTGCATATAGGAAATTCTAAAAGAAACTTTAAATACGTATATTATAAGAAACGTCGTGAATTTTGAAGGCGTTGAAATTACGTTGCATATAGGTAATTCTAATCGAAATGTTAAAAAACGGTCATTTGTCCGGTCGTGGTAGGTTTAGCGTTAAGCCAAAGCAACCAAAGAGTCAAAGATACATGCCGGAAATTATTCAAGGCCCCGCGCACTGACCTTTGGCCAAATAGTTGCATAAACTTCGCAGAGTCTAGAAAGTAACCGGTTTCAGAAGTTTCCGAAGTTCCCCGCAGGATAACGCAGGATTTGATTTAACACTGTCGTGCTAAAAACGCGCGCGACACTCGGAAAGAAAATTCAATAAAGGTATAAACACTGGCAAATGATTTTTCTCCTTGTTTAACATTTTTTTCCCCCTCTATTTAAAAGGTCAACATTGTGCGAAACGTTTTTCCGTCATTCCTAATTCCTATTGGTTTTTCAAACCGTTCTATTTTCTTTCAAGCCATTAAAACATACTAAATTAAAACATATTGAACTAAATGTCAAACTAAGCGAAAACGGAACTGCGTTCTTTTTTTATTTTATTTATTTAAGAAAACTACCGCAGTCCCGTTTTCGCTTAGTTTGATATGTTTCAATTTAATGGCAAGTGAAATTCAATTTTAAATATAAGACGAGTGCAACGATGGAATTAGTTTTAATAACCATTTTAATACTTGCATTAAATTTAAATAAAAATGTCTTATGCAAAAA